GGCATTCCTCATTTCACTATTAGTTGCTTCATCTCCATGTGTGTCTGTACCATAATTTCCACCAAATGCCCCTCTAAATGAGTTAGGTTTTAGCCTGTATTTTGCTCTTACAATGTTTTCTTAAGATCTTTTCATATTGTTGCCAGTATAATTTCAGATCTGTGGTTCTTTTGGTATAAAACTCTTTTTTATTCCTCACACTTTAATTTCAGAACAAAATAAGACCATGATTCACAACATCTAACCCTGGTTTCAAATTATGGAGGAAATGGGGCTTGAGGCCCTTGTTTCCTGCCTTAGACACAGGATAGGAGAGGAAAACCCCACTAGACATCAGAGGGAGCAAGGTGGGACATGGCCACTCGAGGTTGCTGTGGAGCCATGGAGACGCTATACAGAGGGACAGGTTTCCCCGTAGACATTCCTAATCTGCTTCTCCCATTTGATTTGCATCCTCATCCCCCTATAGTTGGTGATTTGTCAGGAGCAAGTACTGGACTCCTCCTGGGTACTTTTTCTTCAGTGTCCAGGACCAGTTTTCTCATGCAGCAGATGTGGTTAGAGTGGCTCACAGGGTTCCTCACAGGAGAAGCCAGAACACAGCAGCACAGTTCCAGATGGCAGCACTACCAGGTCCTTTTACAGCCTTGTTTTCATCTGTGTCAGCCTTCTGCCTGTGTCTCTGCACTTGGGTGTTGGGGTTGATTTCCAGGTGCTTTTTGGCCACCATTTAACACATTGTAGAGTTGCCGCATAGTGCGTGGGCCTTCATGATCAGCTCCATGTTAGCTGTCCAGCCATAGGTACTACTTAGTTACAGTGCAATAAGGTGAAGACACAAGCTTATTGGAGACTGTCACCTCCTCAACCTTCATATTCAAGTTTTCTTTCAGGAGTTTGCAGAGGTTCTCAAACTTTGCCTTGCTCGCCTGCATTTTCTTCTTCTCATCCCTTCTTTGGTCGTGAAGGCCTGGCTCTTTCCATCAGACTAGAGCTGCTGCATGCAGTACTCACTGTTAGGCTTGGTCATTCGCATCATTTCTGTACATGCTCCACAAAAGCAGTGTTGGCCACCTGCTCTTTACTCTCACCAGTGATATAATAGATGGCTTCTGGGCCTTCTTTATGTGAGACACATACTCTGACAGAGAAGTAATCTCATCTCCAACTCAGGAGGGCAATGATTTTTAGTGGAGTCCCCTCGAATTTCAGGCTTTTTATTTATTTGTTTTTCAGCTTTAATTGAGTTTATTGGTACATTTTAGGGATACAGTACAGTTGCATTCATTGTTGGGATCTTGTACCTCTACATGACAGGTCTTGATTCTCATTTTTTTCCCCTTACCCCTGCCCTCCCTTCACCCCCTCCTCCCCTCCCCATCTACAAACACTTTATTTTCATCTTTTCATTCTCTCACATTTTTTTCTTTTCCCTTTTTACTCTTCCCCTACCCATCCCACCTTCCCTACACCTTTAGCTCCTTTCTTCCCATTTCTAAGTGTCAGTAATCTTCTTAGAATCTTATGCATTGTTGCAGATTATTCACACCAGGGAAACTATTCGGTATTTACACGTGTGACTTAATTTATTTCACTTAGGAGTATATCTTCAATATGTATCCATTTTCCTATGAATGAATCTATTTTCTCGTTCTTTATGGCTGAGTAATATTCCATTTTATAGAAAAACCACATCTTCTTTATCCAGTTTCCAAAGGATGGGCAAATGGGCTGTTTCCAAGATTTAGCTATTACAAACTGTGCCGCTATAAACATGGGTACACATACTTCTCTGTGATATGATTCTTTTAGTTCTCTTGGAAAGATACCCAGCAGAGGGATGGCTGGGTCAAATGGAACCTCCAGTCCAACCTCTGTGAAGTATCTCCATATTGATTTCCATAGTGGTTGCACCAATCTGCACTCCCACCAACAATGGAGAAGGGTTCCTTTCTCCCCACAAACCCGCCAACATTTGTTATTGTGTAATTTCTTATTTTTGAGAATGCTTCATAGAATTTCTTGTAGTTCTCTTTATTGTCTGCCTACTCAGAGAAGATCTCAGAGTACTTCTTAACAATGTTTTTGTGGATAACTTTTAAGATTTTCTCTGCTGGAACATTTTTTGGGCGATGTCAGAGGAAGGTCTTTAGAGTCTACCTTACCATGGATAAAGTTTAGGTAGTCTGATATAATTTCAGCCAGTTGTCTGTGAAGAACATGTTTGATATTCTTTTTTCTTATTCTCAAAGAAGTCAGAAGGACCCCACTAGCAATTGAATAGCAATGCCTTGACTTCTAACTGACCTACAGAGTCATACTACGCTGCAGGTGTTCCTTCCAGTCATTGGTGAGACTCTTGTATTCTTCATATTCCTAGAGCTGGATGTGGTGGTGTCCACCTGTAATCCTAGCACTTGGGAGGCCGAGGCTGGAGGACCACTGCAAGTTGGAGACCCAGCCTGGGCTACATGGTGAGTTCAAGGCCAGCCTACACTACATAGTAAGACCCTGTCTCAAAAAAAAAAAAAAAAATCATATTCCTCCTGAGTGATATCATCAGGGTTTCTGGTCCAAATGGGCTTGGTCATGTTCATTTCCTTGTGTTTCATGTATTTCTCCTCAGTCTTCTTGGTTTTCTTTTTCTCACCTTTACCAGTGTCTTCTTCCTCATCTGAACTCACATTGTCAATCTTGGGCCTCCTCTTCTTTCTCTTCCTCTACCTCCTCACTGATTTCCTTCTCTCGTTCCTTCTCCTAGTAGAGTGTGATAGGATAGCCTGTGAACTGCAAGAGCTTCTTCACCATTTCTTCAACCTGCCTCTTTTGACTACTCTGATTGATCTTCTTTGAGGTGGAAATCACTTTGGGCCCTGGCTAGTGGGCTCACTACAGTTGGCATGTACAGTGAAAGATCTCTGGTGGAAGACCCCCAGCATACTGCTCATTATTGTTGTGCTTTTGACCACAACCACTTTCTGGGCCACCAAAAAGACAGAATAAAATCTAACATCAAACTGCCCAATTGTGGAGATGTCTGCACCAGCCCGAAGAGTCTCCATAAGTGCTTTAGTACTACACTTGGTCCTCAAATTATTTATGAGGTAACCCTTGGTCATGCCAGTACCCATATCCACCAAAGTCAGAGTGCACTCCTGGAGGTTTGGGATGATGTCAATGTTCAGCTCTTCACTTCTGTCCAAGTATCTGTCAGACTCTCATAGGGGATCTCATCCAAAGCATTAGAACCATTAGAGATCAGCTCCCAAAGGAAAATTTCCTTGTGTGGTACAGGTTTTGATAAGACGCATGAGTTGAGCAGTTTCTGCCTGAAAGGCAAAAGTCTCCACTTTGCCCTCCCCGTGGTGCACCTCCTCAGGCATCATAATGACCTGTTTTGACAAATGTATATACTTGTAGAGTCCCAGCTCCTGTCAATATATACAATATCACCAGTCACTCAAAAGCTCCTTGAGTCCCTTCATAGGTGGTCACCTTGGATGTGGGTCTGCCTTGGATGCTCTTCGATTAGATTTCTCTCCCAACTTTGCTTACAGTTTTCATCATTAACTTGTATATTCACAGAACCCAGAGTTACACTGGTCCTTCGGTGAAGGTGTAGGTTTGATTCTCTCCCTGTGCCCTCCCTGCCTACTGTTATTTTTTTCTTTTAAACGGCTTTATTAAAATGTAATTTTCATGCTATGCAACTCAGACATTTACTGTGTACTTTTCAGTGGTTTGGAATATATTGCATTATTAATATTTTTTAATTGTATAAATATAAGTAACATAAAATTACTTTTTTTTTTTTTTTTAGACAGGTTGGGTCTTCTCTGTAGTCCAGGGTGGCCTTGAACTTGCTGTGTAGGATAGACTACCTTGAACTTCCTGGGGTTATAAAGCAGGCATCACCACGCCTAGCTCATTTTTAAGGAATAAGATATTACCATCAGTTACATTCATGTTGTGTGTAGCTATCACCACCATCATCTCCAGAACTTTTTCATCATCCCAAACAGAAACTGTACCCCTCTAAACATCATTCACCCCTCCTCTTAGTCCCACTTTACGTTAATGAAGTTGCCTCATGTAAAACATCCAATATTTGGCTTCCTTTATTTGGTGAAAGGTTTCAGGTTTGTTCATATTGTACCACGTTAATACTTCCTTTCTCTTGCATTTTTTCCTGTGGGTGGGTAGTGGTAATATGCATATAATAGTTATAGTTTTGATCCTTTTAAATTGTGCAGTTCAGTGGCATCTAGTGCATCTGGTGTTATGCAACCAGAACATTTCCATTGCCCAGAAGGAAACTTCATATCCATTAAGCATTATTTGATCTGCTTGTTTTCTCTGAATTTCCCTCTTACAGATATTGTATATAAATGGAACCCTACCCAGAAACAAGACTTTGCTCTATGTGCCTGCCTTATTTCACCCAGCATCCTGTTGTCATGGTTTGTTCTTGATCCCCATGTATTAGTACTTTTTATTGCCCAAGAATATTTTTAAAAATATCTTTTGTTTATTCACTCATAGTAATAAAGGTAGTTTCTAGCTCATGGGTGTTAGGAATAATGCTACTACGAACATTCATGTGTGGGCTTTGATGTGAACATATGTTTTCATTTCCGGGAATATACCGGAGTGAAATTGGTGGGTCATATGTCAACTCTGTGTTTAAAATTTTAAATGCTCTCCAGGCTGTTTTCCAAAATGAACAAATTATTTTCTACCCAAGAGAGGTGCACATAGCATTGGGATAGTGATGGTTGTATTTTTCATGGACTGCTTTGAGCAGAGACCTTAGTATCTTCATTTGGCAGTGGTGGCATGAAATGATGAAAATGAAATGCAGAAGCTTGTGACTCAGGGGTTTTCTTGTATTTGAGATCCAGTTCCACAAAAGTACAGTATGTTCAACTGTTGTAATTTTTTCTTTGGTAGACATTTCAGTCCCATCAGAAATTATTTTTTATGATTATATATCTTTGTAGAGTTCCTGAGTTGGAAGTAGAAGAGGAAACTCAAGTTCACGAGATGACCTTGGATGAGTGGAAAAATCTTCAAGAACAGACCAGACCAAAACCTGAGTTTAACATCCGGAAACCAGAATCCACTGTTCCTTCCAAAGCAGTGGTGATTCACAAGTCAAAATATAGAGATGATGTAAGCATTGCATTTTGTTTCTAGAGGTAATCCTTCACGTTTACCTTAGTGGAAATGTAATAGACCTTTCTTACTGTTTTGAAAAACTGAAAATTAGTAATTGGCACTCTTGTTTCTGCTTAAGACTAATCAGAGGATGAAAAATAATTCATACTTAATGTATTGACACTAAAATGCAAAGCTGTTCCTGAGTTCAATCCCCAGGACCAAAAATAAATAAATAAAATGCAAAGCTGGTAGAGAATAGCACGTTTTCAGCCTAGCCTAGAACTGGACAGAGACTGTCCAAATACTGTGTTTGTTATGTGTTCATTGTCTATATCTTCAGAGGTACATAATGTTTCCTACACAGTGCTGTTCACAGAGGATGTGACTACTTTGTATTTCCACAATTAGATTATCTATAGCTTTAATTCTTGATGAACATCTCCTTGGGAGTAGTTGATCATCTTATACTAAAGTTGGGAATCCAAACACTGTGATCCTCTTTTTGTGACAATTCAGAAGCTGTGCACCCTTTGCATAACTGCAGAGAAGTCCTGGGCTGCTGGACAGTAGGGTCAGGTACTGCCGCAACAATCCAAGCTGCGAGAAGTTTCTTAGTATTGCCAAGGCCTTATTTTCCATGCTTTTGTTCAGCTCTATATCAGATGCCTCAAGTTTTAAAGGGAGATATTTTAGGGAAAATATCTGCCACCATAAATAAATTTATAAGACCACAGGGTTATTAATCAGACTCTGTTTAAGTTACTGAACTTAAAATATCCCGGTTTCAGAATTTAGAATTTTTATCATTTGATCCTAGTTTAATACTAGTTATTCTAGATAACTCTTTGTTGTTGGGTATTAGTTGTTGATTTTGAGATGGAGGCTTACAATACTATGTAGACTTGTCTGTGTGCCTGGTATTAGTAGGCTGTCAGTGTGACAATATTCCTGAGATAATGAACTTACAAGGAGGAAAGGCTTATGTTCACAGTTTCAGAGATATCAGTCCCTGGTTGCTTTACCTCATTGCTTTAAGCCTATGGCAAGACAGAACATTATGGTGGAAGCATGTGGTGGAGGAAACTGCTCACATAGAGAGACAGATAGGGGCCAGGTACCCTGTCCCCTTCAAGGCCAAGACCTAGATTAGTGACCTAACTTCTTTCCACTAGGCCTCACCTTATAAAGGTTCTCCTGTCTCCCAGTAGTAACACAGGAATGAAGCCTTTAATACACGAGCCTCTGGGAGACATTTATAATCCAAACTCCTAAGAGTTCCCACTTACATATTGGTTGTAAATACACATTAGTTGTATTTTTGAATGGATATTTTCTTTAAGCAGTTATTTATGATATAGTAGCCCCTTTGTCTTGTTTGGTTAGTCCAAAGTTTAGGGGTTCTTACTGATAAGTCTTGCTCTACCAGAAACATCTTTTATAGACACAGGATGCCAGAGCCTTACTCTCCTGGGGATCTCTGTGAGGTGTGTGACAAGCCCATTAGCTGGTCAGGCTGGCTGGGTATCCACTGTCTTGATTCCTTTCTGTTCTGAGCAATGTAAATAAAGCTTTGTCTGAAGCAGCTGTGCGTCTGGGTGAGAAACATGCAGCTGACATGTCAGGTAAAAATAGAAGCCTCTTTCCTGGTCCACAGCTCTCATTTTTTCTGGCTTCAGAGATGTGTGGGAATATTGGAAGCAACTGGGTTAGCTGAGTCATTGGGCTTATTCTTGTTTGCTCTTTGGTTCTTGTAAATCTTAGGGCAGTTGCAGATTCTGTGATCCCACTTCAAGCAACAAAAGCCACATTGTGGGGTCATTAGTTTACTTTTTTCTGGGCACCTTAAGACAAAAGCCTGGAATAAAACCTGTTTACATGGAAGTCTGCTGCCTACAAAGGTCAAATCTAAAGCAGCTCTAGGAAACATGCACTGTGGCTAGGGCCACAGAGGCGAGGAGACCCATGCCTGAGACTGTACCATCTTCCTCATTCCCCCTATGCTGAGTTCCCTCTTGGAGATGCCCACATAAAAATCAGCACCTCTATGCTAGTGCACACTGCTAGCCACCTGTCTTCTGGGTAAGAGAGGGGTGTATTGTTGCCTCTTACTGTTTTGTGTGTGTGTTTAACTTCCAGCCAGTATTTGGCACACTCACAAAATTCCTTTTACCTTTTTAGCACCAGGGAGCTTTATCTGAAACTGAAACTTTGAAAGGGACACAAATGTTAAAAATAAACATCTAGTGAACATATGGCTGAAAAGAATCAGTGTTAAGGCCGAGGATTTAGCTCCTGAGCCTGCCACACAAGCACGAGGTCCTGAGTTCGATCCTCTGTACCAAAAAAAAAAAAAAAATCACAGTGCTCGTGGAAATTTTTCCATTTCCTGGGCAAGTTGCAGGAATTTTTAACTCCATAGCACTTTGGAGAGTCTCATCTAAGGGCAAGGGCACATTTTCTTTTCTTTTCTTTCTTTTTTTTTTTTTTTTTTTTTTTTTTTT